ACTGAGGGTTGGACTGATGGAAACTTGCTGTCATGAGAATTTCAGCTGAATGCCAGGGTGATGGGAATGATTCAACATGAGTGCACAAAACCCCTGGAGTGGATTAGGCTTAGTGAGGTCTTAGGAAGGGGCTTCTCCATTATTTCCATTGATATAACTTGAGTATGGAATGTACCACACATGACTCATGACTGGAAGAATACTGGCTCCAAGGAGGATCCTATTCCTGCCCACCATGACCACAAATAACAAAATGTTACTTATTGTTATTATCATTGCACTGAGTTATGGACTACCTAGAAAGACGATATGGAGTCTGTGCAAGATAAACAGTCTATTACCATCTGGATAAAGCAAATCAAATGACAAATATCCTCATATAGCTAGGCATGCCTATTGCCATCATGGAAAATCTACTCATAATGACAATTATAAGTCTCAAGACTCGCTCTGGCAAGGTGAGCAGGAATGGTTGCTGTACACAGTGAATCCACCGGCAGAAAGATTAGACAGATACCAGAAGACACCATAATGAGTGTCACAGAAAATTCTGGCACCATCAGTGTATGGATATAGGTACTGGAAAATGCCTGTATTTTGAGCCACATGCATGCATTGAAACATTCGGATCAGGGCAAAGTGTTCAAATAAACAAAAAAGCATTTACATCTAATATTCTTACAGAAGTAAAGTTAGATTTCCTTAGATGTAACACATAAAATCAAATGCTAATAATGAGAATTGTTTCCTTTCTGTATATTAGAATACTGAAATATATAAAAAAATGCCCTGTATTTATGCTGCAATATGTTAACTACATAGCTCATCCTCTTTTTCTCAAAACAAAATATTAAAACCTATACAATAAGCAATTTTAAAATCACATAAAAAATAACACATTTCTTAGAGTAATTTCATCTGAACCCTCAAAATATCAGGGAGGGACTTAGTATGATTAAGGGATATTTTTCAAGAGCCAAACCTAACTTAAACTTAATAATCCATATAAGTTATACAGCCACATATTAAATCTTTGGCCACATTGGTCAAAGTAACCCACTGGTACCATGTACATGTGTTGTCTATTGTAGTTTTGCTTTGCAGCTTTGCTTAAACAACAATAGTTTATAGTCACGAAGGAGTAAATTACTAGTAACCTAACCTTAATTACACATTATGTGAACCTCTTATGTAAACAAATTTACATGTTTAGGAAACAACAATACAAGTGGTCTGAGAGTAGCTGAAGTTGTGTTTCTGAAACTCAAGCTGGCAAGGTTAGCAATTTCTATTCATATTTCAATTTTGATTTTAATTTTCTTTTCCTTTCTTTTTTTCTTCATGACTCCGAGACCAAATAGTACATATTCAAGCAACAAACACTTATAAGAGAAAGGAAGATTTTTTCTAATAATGAGCTGACATATCCCCAACAAAAGCTTTTTAGAATAACTATTCATGTTTATACTGACCTTATTTTTATTTATAAATGACTTACTTGGTACAAAAATTATATAACAGATAACCTATTAGACCTTTTCATATTCTTTTTATCTATTTTGCCTCACCCCTCTCTCCTTGGGGATAGTTCATTTAATAAAAAAAACAGACTGGAAACTTTGTTTGCCATACTGTTGGTAAAGGATCTTAACATTTATTGTGTGGCTTATAAAAACACTTTCTTGAAGTCTTTTTGGCTATAATAAATTAAAACATTTAGAAAAAAAGACTTGGGCATTAAGTTAAATCCCTGAGAAATATTATATCAAAATAAGTTTGCATGGTCATTACAGTTTACTGTTTCCAATCTGGTCCAGAAAATAGCATAAGATACATCTCAAATACAATACACTCGTAACTCACCCAACAGTTTTCTTATCCTGTTTACCCTGTGAAGACACCAAGGGTGTTCTGAAGACCCCAGCTGCTTTGTGGTCTGGTGTCCTTGGGTCAGAAGTTGTGTTCTGGTATTGTGTGGCAGGGGTGTTCTCTTTATTGGGGGATATATAGTCTGCTACCTCTTGTGATCCAAGGTAACTTACATCATCCTCCACAGGCTCAGCCATAATTTGTGCTAATATTTATATAAAAAAAAAGACAAAAAGGAATATTAAAATACTTTCATATTAAAATATACTCTTCTATATTAATGTTAAGTCAATTTCCATAATTGTGATACATCCAATTGGGTCCACTATTAAGGATCACCATGTTTAAAAACAAAGAGTTGTTCTTCATTAACTAATTATTCTTTTTTTTTTCATTAATTATTTTTTGACTTACTTGTTACAGCTAGATTTTTTTTTTATTCTTAAACTTGTGCAAGGGTCTTTGAAACATGAGATGCAATACTACTGTGACACCACTATCTAAACAGTCCTGATAAGGATTATCACTGATAAAATACTCTTGTTCAAAGATAAGGATGAGAACAATAGTAAACAGAGTATATATAATCACACTTTTTCATTATCAAAATAGGTACTCCAGTTGAAGAACATTTGAGTTATAAAAAGCATAGAAAAGACAAAAATTTGTGAAACTACTTTTTTATAGAGAAAAGTGAAACTTCATGAGTACTAAGTTTTAAGTTTAAACAAATGTACAAGAAATTAGGTATAGCACTCCCCAATCTACAGCAACACTTGGAAAAATGAGAACTTAAAAAAGTCTAATTGTATAGTTCCACAGGCTGCTGATTGTTGGTACATACAAATATTTCTAGCATGAGACAGATATTCATGGATTTTCACAAAGCTATTTATGTGGTCTTAAATAAGGTACAAAGATTTTGAATACCCAACTGTAAGTAACCTATAGACTACTGTGTGCTGAGTTATAAGCATACTTATGAATCCTTTGAGTGATTTACAAAATTGCATTTGCTTCCCTTTGAATGACTGCTTATCTGCAAGTATTTGACATTTCATGATTTGTACATAGGTTGTCTTTCCCTCTCAGTGATCATGAAAATATGGATTGGTTTTCCTAATGAATTCCCTAATGAAAGCAACATCACTGTCCCTCTCAGACAGTAAATGAGGCTTTCTTGGTACTTGAAGAAGCTTTCTATTGGTGACAAATAAAATAAAAATAGTGACAAAACATAAAAAATAAAAGCAATGACAATGATACAGGTAACGTGACCCTTAGCTCAGTCTGACTGACATGACCTACCTCCAATCCCTTTTACCTACCACTGTCCCTCTACTTCCCCTCTCTGTAGTGTTATGTTGGCATTCATTCCAAAGAATAACATACAATACATGTAAAACAGAAATAATTTGAGAATGCATGCAGTAAGTAATGGCTAACAGGCCTTTTTTTCTAATTTTGAAAATTTCCTATTTCACCTACAGTGCCGCACTTCTAATTGCCTCCAAACCAGGTACTCTCCAGTTTCTGAGTTAAGTATGACATCTCTGGCACTATCATGCATTCATAGACATCATATTATGGCACATATAACTAGATGGCTCCCATTTTTTTGAAGCTGAGCATAAAGGATTCCACATATTTCACTTCCAGCAATAACTATTTTCACAAATAAGCATTTTCCCATAAAGAAAAGTAATTTAGGCCAAAGCTTCATCATCATCATCATAAGGGGGCATACGCATGGCTGCGCTTTGCCGCGCCCAACCTTTGCCTCCACCTCCTGGGGTCCCTCCGAGCGAGCCTCCACGCAGCATTCCTTCCCACTCCCAGTACATCTTGGCAGATCTGATCGACTTGCTTCAGCCATGAGTTCCGTGGCCTTCCCCTTGGTCTTCTCCAGCCTGGGTCAACCCTCTCGGAGATGACCCTATGAGCCGGATCTTCCTCAGGGAAACGAGCCACATGTCCATAGAGCTGAAGTTGGCGCTCTCGTATCAGACTGGTAATAGGTCTTGAATCAGTCTCATGGAGTATCCTCTGATTGGACACATGGTCCCTCCAGGTATACCCCATGATTCTGCGAAGACACTTAGTACCGAAGGAGTTAAGACGGGCTTTCAGAGCACTGTTCAGTGTCCAGGTCTCACACCCGTAGAGCAAGACCGGGATCACCAGTGCTCTGAAGAGCCTGATCTTAGTTCTCCTAGTCAAATACCGACAGCGCCAAATACTCCTATTGAGTGAGTCCATAACGCCGTAGGCCAGTCCGAGTCGTCGAGTGACTTCCCGGTCGGAACCTCCGTCGCTCTGCACTACACTACCAAGATAAGTGAAGCTATCCAAGACCTCAATGTTCTCGCCACAGGCATGCACAGACTGAGCATCGACATCCAAAAAGTCCCCAAATTCCTGAACCTTGGTCTTGGTCCAGTTGACCGCGAGTCCCAATGGCTTTGCCTCCTCATACAGCGCCTCGAGAGCTACTTCCAGGACCTCTAATGTCTCCGCTAGAATCACTGCATCATCGGCAAAGTCAAGGTCTGTGATCTTGAAATTACCAATTGATGCCCCACAGGAACTACGGTTCACGGTACGGCCAAGTATCCAGTCCATACAAGTGTTGAAAAGGGTTGGGGCCAGGACACATCCCTGTCTCACCCCGGCAGACACCGGGAAGAAGGCAGAGATGCCCTCCCCACACTTGACAGTACTCTCAGTATCTGTATACAGGCCAGACAGCAAACCAATAATTCCAGGGGGGATCCCACGGAGACCCAGTAGGCTCCAGAGACTCTCCCGGTGCACTGAGTCGAAAGCCTTCTTGAGATCAACATAAGCTGCAAGCATACCCTGTTGAAACTCAAGTCGGCGTTCCACAAGGACACGAAGTGCTAAGGCACGGTCTACAGGTGACTTCTTGAGTGTAAAACCAGACTGCTCAGGTCTCTGTGCTCGTAATAGGTGGTCGCGCACTCGTGCCAGAAGCAGATGAGCGAGGACCTTGCCTGGTACGCTGAGCAATGTAATACCTCTGTAGTTGCCACAGTCCTTTTGGTCCCCTTTCCCTTTCCAGATAGGGATGACCCAGTTCCACTCAGCCCTAGTCCCTGAACCTCCACCAGTAGCCAAGCTCCATTTATGGTTACATTGCAAATACACTCCCCCTGGTTTGGAGTGTCTCGGATGGCTTCAGGTACCATCACAACCCATGAAAATAACAGCTGAATCTGGGTAAAGAATGTTCAAGATCAGGCTTTCCTAGTTCTCCAGACAGCATGCCTAGGCCTGGCCAATAGGGAGATAGTCCCTTACTCATGTCTGATTCAGGAGTCAGATAACTGCAGCTAGAGCCAACTCTGGCTACCCAAACTACTGGAATAATCATATTACAATGACACTTAACTCAGCTTGTTTGTGTATAGGCTAGCATCAAAATATTTCTCATAATATTATAAATGCATAATATCACCAAACAAATTATGAAAATTATGGTCTATAGATTAAAGCCAGCAAAATATATATAACGATGGTGTATCTGGGCAAAGAATGCTCTAGATCTGGCCCCCCTAATTTCTGAGAGAGAGAGAGAGAGAGAGAGAGAGAGAGAGAGAGAGAGAGAGAGAGAGAGAGAGAGAGAGAGAGAGAGAGAGAGAGAGAGAGAGAGAGAGAGAGAGAGAGAGAGAGAGAGAGACTTTATACCATACAGGAATAACCTTTTGGAAAATAAAAAATTCAACAACTTGTCACAGGCTAGCAAATGCTAAGGAATGTAGATATAATAAAACATTAATGATTTTGAGATTTTGTAACAAGAAAAGAAAACCAAACCAGATTTTTTCCAGTCAACTGGGGTGCTGGTGCTTTTCGAACTTAGAGGTGTATGATGGTGAAAGGAGGTGCGTAATAGTACATTACCATAAGACATCCATGCATCCACCACTGGCCTTCCACCTGTCAGCACTCCTGCTATCCACCATATACATCTTGGCAAGAAAAAATTTACAGATCTTCCCTGAGACTAATTATCAAACCTGGAGTTGCCTAAGTTGTATCTCACTAATAAATACTGAATGCAATCGAGGTTTCTTGACCTTTGCCAAGTGCTAAGAGGAGGGGGCAAGGTGGGTGCTTGAAAATATTTTACCGTAAGTTTAGATTCCAGAAAAAAATGAAAAATTCCCGTACTAATAGCCACTATAGGAAGAATCTTCTAAACACATATCCTTGAATATTCTGATGAGGCTTATATACTTTTCATGCTTTTCATAGAAAGGGAAATTGTTGCAACATTTGTTACTTTGATTTAGCCAATTCACATGATTATTAAGGGGATAAATTAAATATAAAGAGAAAATTGGCATGCTACAATTAAAACAAACTTTGAAAAACCGGATTACAAGATTACCTTTCTTCTAATTGTGAACAAACCTCAGTCTACCTATTATCATAATCAAAGGCTCACAAACAACACCAAAATACAAGTCTAAATCAGTCAAGTGCGTGAAAACATTAGGGAAGGAGACTAAACAGATTCATCCACACGAGACGAGGGAAAGAGTGATGAAAACCGAGAACCGATTTCCTCTTCCTCGTGTCCTACCTGTCCCTCCCGCTCTCGCAAGCAGAGGCGAGGACGACCCCGGCCAGCAGGTCGAGCAGGAGACAATCATAGCCTTGTGACCACTCTTGTGACCACTCTACCCCAGAGTTACTCATCGACCAAGAGTTAAAAGGATCTGAATTAACCCACCACCAGTAATCTTACGTCCAGAATCTCACGGCAAGATGCTCATCATCTCCCTTATCTGCCGTACCTCTCGTGCGTCATCTTTAAACGCCCGATCACCGCATGTCCGCAAAAGGCCTTTTTTTCGTTACACCATAATAGCTTTTCTTTGAAAGAGAGAAACACTTGCTGATGCCCGTGTGAAGGTCGTTTTCTATAGACGTATGTATCGTGTTGACCTTAGGGCGGTTTTATAGGATTCAGCGCCGTTACTGTACTTTCGTTAGAAGATCGAAGCTACGGATAGATATTCTTCAATCCTATATACGGGAGGTTTGTGGTATCTATATATTATTTGTTGATAGATCAAATTCTATAAAAATATATATTTTGAAAGGAATAATGAATAACTCAAAACTCTAATAGTTCAAATAATTAACCGGATAAATATTTGATATATCATATTTTATTAGAAGCGATGGTGTGCACAAGGAAAAAAAACATATAAAAAATAAAATTAATATTACAGACCATCAGTTCTATAAACTTTATATTGTACAACATATCCTGTAACTACGCGTCCTTATATATCGTAGATACATAATAGAAAATACATAAGATATTTAACGTCCGTTCTGAAATGTACAAAATTAAGCTCTAGTTAGCAACTCTCGCAACTGTCATGCACAAACACTCGACTTCAAAACCAATATGAAATTATAGTTCATGCATAATAAACAAATAAATAGGTCAGAACACAGAATAAACTAATATATGCGATGAATGGAAAGGCAAGAGAAAACATTCAACATATTAGAGAGGAAGTAAAACAAGAAGATAAAGGAAATATAAAAAGGTTGAATATAAAATCAAATATGTACAGTTTCCGTGTGTAT